GGCTCCATACAAGGATCACAAAAATGGGTTTCATTTTTGCTATGCGCATCTGGGTAGGTCAAAATCTGAGTAAAAAGGATTCGACAAGATTGGATGGTTTTGACCATCTTAATGGGCTCCATTTTTATTGTAACTTCGAGCGTGCATAGTTTGAGTGCTCCTGCAATAAGGCGCAAAAACATCCCAGCATCCTGGACGACGACATCAGACGTAAGGGTGACTGTGTCGTCCCTGCTCAGAAAACAGCAATTGTTCCTTCTCTACTTTTTTAGGTGTTAGTGGCTGCAGTAGATAGCATATTGCTCCATCATGTTTTGTTGAACATTTACCGACACTGTGAGATTTGTCCATCAAAGAAGGGAAATGGTACACAATGAGACTAGAACATTCCCGGAAACAGGCTTTTCCGCACAACCGCGCTGGTTTGCAACGTGTCGAATAAAGAATATGCCTTAAACTGGCATGTACATGGCTTATTTCCACTGCCAGAGACACAGGAACGCGAAACTGGAAAATGCAAAACTGGTTTACGCAGCGGCTTCGATCCACAAAGTGGCCGTATCGTCGTCCAATCCCAGAAGTCAGTCATGTTTACTCGTGCGATCTATCCGAGGTGACAAAATCTCACAGCTGTGGTAAAGTTCAACAAAACATGTGGAGCATATGCATCTACTGCACCAACTACACCTAAACAAAATCAGAGAAGAACAATTGCTGTCTTCGCTGGACAAGGACAAAACATCACCTTCGCTGATGTCGTTCCGCTCAGGATGCTGCCGGATCTCCATTTTGAAGCCTTATCAAAGAGCACCTTCAAAACAATGCATGCTCGAAGTTACAATAAAAATGGAGCCCATTAAGATGGTCAAAACCGCCTAATCTTGTCGAATTCTTTTTACTCAGTTTTTGACCTACCCAGAAGCATAGCAAAAATGAAACCCATTTTTGTGATCCTTGTATGGACCCCTACAACAAGCAACAAACCATTTCCAAAAAGCGCGCCACGACCTGAAAGACCTCCCTTGTAAGAGTGGTTCTGGGGATTCTTTTGCAGAGTTTAAATATTCCCTGACATGGTAGCAGAATGGAATTAAGAAGTCGTCTCAGGAATGATGATCCACATTTTCACGACAATGTCCTCTAAGAAAAAACAAAATTGTTGTTCATCTTCTCTCTGTTTTTCTGTGAAGGTCTACGCTCAAATGAGGAGATGTGAACTTGGG